ATTGACAGAAGAACATGGGCAAATCTTAGATATTATAAGTGAAAGGAGCCAGATCCAAAAGGTTTATATTTTATGATCCATTCATGTGACATTCTGGAAAAGGGAAAACTATAGGGACATAAATCAGTGGACAGGGGTTGTTGGATGGCAAAGTTGTTGACTATAAAGGAGATGCACAGAGGAACTTTTCAAGGGAAAGAACTATTCTTTGTGGTTCTGGGGTGGTGAATACATTTGTCAAAACCCATAAAACTGTAAATCACAAAGAGAGAACATGAATGTATGCAAATTGAAAAAAAAAAAGACATCGAAAAAAGATCAGTTCCAGGACAAAATCCAGACTGTGACAGATGAACCTAACTCTATTACAAATGAGTGAAATAACTGCACTGAACATGGGGGTGGGAGGTGAGAGGAGTGTCCTAAGTCAGTCTGGAAAATTGTGTTTTACTAGAAACTAAGGATAAAGATGAAAGATACGTAAATACTATCCTCCAGTTAGTAAATTTGTTTTCCAAGGGGATGCTGGTTAACAGTTCTGAAACTGCTTTATATGTATAGTAGGCTTGAAAAATAGTAAGTGGTTGGTGGGTGATGGGAGCCAGGTTTCTCACTATTGTAGAGGGAAGTTACAGATAAGAAAGGAAGTTTAGAATGAACTCTGTGGTTCTTAATGAGAGTTGGAAACATCAAGGTGAACTCATGTTTAGCTTGGAATATGTGCAGATGGATAGATACAGAAACAATTGTAGATATATGTGTATATGTGAGTTTGTACACATAAATGTATTATCAAACTCTGTCCACTGAGGGGGCCTACACAGAATGACACTTGAGTAGTGATGAGCAGTCTCAACACCCAGGTCTTGATTCTAAATAGCAATCTCAAAGAAAAGGTGGTAAGCTTCTTAGTGAAGTGGCTGATTCTAGGGCTGGGCAGGGAAACCACAACATGAGCCTATAGCATCTTGCACCAGAAAGTAAGGAAGTGCTCAAAAAATAAAAGGATGGATGGATGTCAAAGGGATATAAGATCCAACCTGAAAGAAGTCTCAATAGCCAAAGCTAGAACAATTTGAGCAACAAAATAAATAATGTAGTTATTGAGTGAATATGGGCTAGAATTAGTGACTTGCCTTCTATGAATAAAACATGGAAAGGGAAAAATAGTACCTTTACAGTAAAGGACCCTGTCAGACATTACCTTAACCAAGTGATCAAGGTTAACATCATGAGTAATGTCACATGGATATCATGTACCCCCCTGATATGTTGCAATGAGAAGGGCGCTTCTTTCCTAAAGCCTATAACCGTGGTCTGACCATGAGGAAGAGCTACCAAACAAACCCAAATTGAGGGACATCCTGCAAAATACCTGATCAAAACCTTCAAGTTTATGAAAACAAGAGAAGACTGAGAAATTCTCTTAGATTACAGGAGACATGATGAATTAATGCAATGTGGTATCACGGATTGGATTCTGAAATAGTAAAAGAACATTAATAGAAAAATTGGTGAAATGCAGATAAAGTTTGGAGTTTAGTTAATGGTTATATACCAATGATGGTTTTTTAGTTTGACAGATGCACCATGGTAATAAAAGATGATAACATCAGAGAAATCTGAAACTGAGCTATATGGAACTGTATACTATCTTAGCAACTTTTCTGTAGATTTTAATTTTTTCTAAAATAAAGGTTATTAAAAGGTTACAGAACAGCATGTAGAGTATAATTTCATTTATGGAAAAGTCTATACATAGACAGACTATACATAGATATGTTTATATGCATTGATAGATGACTTAAAATGTTTACTGAAATTTTTTTTTTTTTTTTTTGCGGTACGCGGGCCTCTCACTGTTGTGGCCTCTCCCGTTGCGGAGCACAGGCTCCGGACGTGCAGGCTCAGCGGCCATGGTTCACGGGCCCGTGTCCCCTGCATCAGCAGGCGGACTCTCAACCACTGCGCCACCAGGGAAGCCCTGAAATTTTAATACTGCTGGGTTTAGAGACTTATTACTTTGTTCTTTTCTCTAGTATTAGATATTCATTAATTAGCATATATTATTTTTATAAAAGCAATAACATTGTTAAGTGCAACAGTAAAAGCTACTTTCTTTTCAGCTACCTTTCCTAAAATTATTTCTCTAATAATTTTTTAATCAGAAGTTTTATATGTATTTATTAAGTGAAGTGGGGGAAAAATGAAAAAAAGACATCCAAGAAAATAGAAGATATGTTTACATGTCATAAGAGAATATTAAATGACAGAAATGCTTTATGTTTCAAGTTTCATGTTTTCAACTTCAAACAATGTATACAGTACTGGTTTATTTTATCTATATCCATATTGTAATTTTTCTACAATGAGTAAATATTACGTTCATCATAAAAAATGAATATTTTCATGGTAACAGACATCAGAGCTATAATTAGAACTTAAGTTCAGATTTTCAGGTTAAAGCTTTTTAGAATTTTCTAGGTCATATAATGGCTTGAAATTAGTGTATACCTTAAAATTCAGGTGCAGCTAAATCCCTTACCAAATAACTTATAATTAAATCATTATTGGGCATAATATTCTTTATTTAGCATATATTTTTAAAGATACAAAAATTTGGGGGAAGGGTGAGCTGTGACAGGGTGAGAGAGAGTCATGGACATATATACACTAACAAACGTAAGGTAGATAGCTAGTGGGAAGCAGCCGCATGGCACAGGGATATTGGCTCGGTGCTTTGTGGCCGCCTGGAGGGGTGGGAGGGAGGGAGACGCAGGAGGGAAGCGATATGGGAACGTATGTATATGTATGACTGATTCACTTTGTTATGAAGCAGAAACTAGCACACCATTGTAAAGCAATTATACCCCAATAAAGATGTTAAAAAAAAAAAAAAGGATAGGCTCTTCAACAGTGGATTCTTTATCGAATGTTCACAATGGTGAATAGTCGCATGTAGAAGAATGAAACTGGACCCTTATCTCATACCATATACAAAAATCAACTCAAAATGGATTAGAGACTTAAATGTAAGACCTGAAACTATAAAACTACTAAAAGAAAACATAAGGGAAAGCTTCATGACAACCATTGGCAATAATATTGAGGGGTGTATCTATTTTTAATGTATTTTCTATGTAACTTTTGATATGTATTTTATGTATTTGACATGATTAAGCCAAAAAAATAATCCACCTAAGGGGAAATTGGTTGGCCAACATGCACTGAATAATTCCTATGTGTCACTCTTGGCAGTGACCTTACCAATGCCACAAAGGACCCATGATCTAAGAAACAAACTGCATTTAAAGACCAGTGGGGCCCAAGAGTTGACCATAGCTCCATCCCTGAAGTTCCAACATTGTATGATTGTAGCAAATATCATAACCTGTTCGATTTATTAGGGGTCAGCAAATAAAGCAATGCAATAGTGGGAAAAAAAAGATGCAAAAATTTATAAAATATAAGTTCTGTCTATCCCCAAGGATGGGAGTAGGTCAAGAATTCATTTCACTAAATTTTAAAACCCTTTTGAAATGTAAATAAGAAATTTAACTTTTTAACCAGAATTATATAACCTATACTTACCCAGAGAATCAAAAAGCATTAATATTACTTTTCTAAGAACAGACTGGCTTGGGTCCAGTATTTCAGGAAATATTTATATCATAATGGTATATAGCATGTGTGTTTGCTGAGTGCCTTCTGTGTCAAGCATTTTATTTACAACTTTTCATTAAATCCTCAAAACAGTCCCATGTGATCTTGGGGTAACAGCAGTGAATGGCAGCTTGAAGCAAGATCTTAGTTCCTTGCCTGGGAATCGAACCTGGGCTGCCTGGGTGAAAACGAGGAATCCTAACCACTAGACCACCAGGGGCTAGTGGCTAGAAGCAGAGCCCTCGCTCTTGACCTCTTTGAAAAACGAATTTTACAGAGACCAAGGTTGTAAAGCAGACACAGAGTTTATTAGAAGCACAGTACGTGTGGTAGAGCACAAAGAAAAGCAGTTTATTTAGGACAGAAGCAAAGCAGAGCTACACACTCAGAGAAGAGTGTGGGCATCTTCGCTAATAAAGAGCGCTAAAGGCGTGGTTTAAATTGCTTATGTAGGGACCATCTTCCAGGTCTTTGTTTTCCTCTGGCCAATCATCTTGCTTGTTCCCCATATCCGATCTGACTCAGGGTCCTGTCTAATGTGCATGCGCATCTTTTGGCCAAGATGGATTCCAGTGTGAGGGTCTCTAGGAGACTGGCAGAACATATTTTGGGTTAGCGCTCCCTCCCTTTTTGATCCCCTAGGAACTTTTCTGTACATGTGAAGTTGAGGAGGTCTCCTTGACCTGAAGAATGAAGACGTGGTCATCTTATCTTTTTACTGCAGCAGAGCTTAGTTCCTCTCTGCTCCTGCTGTTATCTTTTTCCTTGAAATGTCGTCAGGGGCCAGGGTGTGGTAGGGAGACAAGCTCCAATTGCTCAGTCTGACACACTCCAGCTGCTCAGCCTGGGGCCAGTCTACCTCCTACCTCACATGTAGTGTAACCTAATTTTATAAATGTGGAGACTAAATCTCAAAAATGTTGAGTAACTTGCCCAAAGTTGTGTACGATATGTTCAGTAAATTTGTATTATTTGTAAATTAAACATTTTTAAAACTCTAACATTCCTACAACATTCAGAATGCTTTATGTACAAATAATTCTTCATATATATATGTATACACCACCCTAAGTTCATACTTTTTGTACTAGCTAATGTAAAAATTACTACAAGTGTAGTGACAATTATGATGAAATTTCAGCAAATATGTATAAGTTTCTGAATTTATTTTATGTTACTTTTAGGAAAGTTTTAAAACACCAGGCAAACCAGTTCTTTCTGCATATTTTGTCATTCTGATTTTAATAAGTTCAGGTTTATGCTTTATGTTTTAGAGTAATTGCATTTAGTAGCCAAACATTTAGTAATCATACTCTTGTACTTTCTGTTTCAGTCAGAAAATGTAACTGTGACAAAGGATTTTCAAAGGGTAGAAAATGCATATCACATGGAAGCAGAGGTATGTACTTATCTTAAATAATTGGAAACAGCACGACTTGTGGGGACAGTTTGCATTTAATTTTATTCTTGAAACTCAGTGTATATGAGAAATGCTTCTCATGGTATTGATAAAAGATCATTTTTCTCAATCATTTTTGGTGTTACATATCTGGGTGAGCTTTTAAAATAAATTTAATGAGATTTAAGAGAAATTGTTTTGAAGTGGAATAAAAATAGCAGAGGGAGGTAGCATTTAATTGCCACGTGAATAAAATTTTAGTAATGTTATCATCTAGTGAGCAGGAAGCACTACAAAAGAAAAGTTTCTTCTCCTCCGATAAATAGCAAATTAATAGTCATAGAATAAAGGATTGAAAGACTCTTCAACATTCTTTTGTTTCACAATGTAATTTTATTGTTTTGTGTTCAGGTTTATTTAAAAATAAAAACTACTCAACCTTTGCACAAATTAAAAAGAACAAAATATTTTTGTACACTCAATTAATGAAAACATTTAGTTCCTAAAACTGTTGAGCTTTTTACTTATCTTTAAAGATTGTATGATCAGGATTTTATGACACCAGAGTATGTTATATGTACTTGTGGCTAGGTTACAAGACTGCTCTCTCTCCCTGGCTCCAAACATCTTGGGGTACTTTGGGGCAGTCAGGCTGCCTCCTTTGCCCCAGGAAACAAACAGGAATGAGATTAGAATGGAATATTGTTTATCTAATCAGAGAATCTTAGCCATTAGAGGTGTAAAATACCTCAAGAAATCAACTAGTCCTACCTTCAGGCAGATAATAAATTATTTTTTCTAATTTTAAGGGTGTGACCTTAGGCTTAGATAGCTTAGGCTCAGATTTTTCAAAGATCATATTATAAGAATTAGAATGGAAATTAGGATCCTGGCTTCTTACCTCTTGAGATAGTAATTTCCATAACACGCTGTTGTCCCTATACTTACTTTAATAAATTTATAATTTCTTCACTTAAAATTTAACCATCTTATGATATTTTAGGGATCCATTTGGCAAATGTTATTCTGTAGTAGTGGGGACCAAAACATACCTTTCAAAACAGGATGAAGAGTGGTCTGGTAAGATTCCATGTTATGGAAGTCAAAGACTGGGAGTTGTTCTAGCATCCTCCAGTAGTTATTACCTGTTTGGACTTCAGGTTGTAGTGGACATAGATGGGCTCTGGTTATCTTAGTTAATGGGGTTTGTTGTGAGGGTACACTAGTAAGTACACGAGGAGGAAAAGGAACAGTCCCAGCAAACATTCAGCCAGGCTTCATGGAAAACTGGCCAGTTTTTCAGACTGATTTATTCTAGGGACTGACCCACCACGTACAGAGTGTGCTTTAGAGCTGCTTATTTTGTTGTAAGACATGGCTAAGTGAGGAATTGGCTAAACTCTACTCCTCGTCCTTTTGCTGTACTTACCTTTTTAATGTCTTGTATTTGAATTTCTTAAGAGAGAATCTGATTATATTTTGTATAGGGCTCCCCAGTAGCCAGAACTCTTATATAGTATAGTCTAATACATGATTGCCCTTAAGTCAGCATCAGCAGAGACCAGGACGGTAGGGTCATGAGGTATAAAGTATGCCAACCTGCGCATAAAGAACAATGTGTGGCTTTATGGCTATGGCTATAGTGAACACCAAAACCTAATATCTGATGTATACCAATATTCTCGCAGGTAGTTAAATATACAGACTAAGATTAGATGGTAGAACATTACTTTTCACATAATATCTGAAATTTTCATCCTGAAAGGCACTTCAGAGATTCTTTTTCTAACCTCCCGCCTACCCTGCTGCTTCAGCTTATTTTAAAGATAAGATATTGAAAGTTAGAAATTATCTAAGTGAGTTCTTTAAGGGTGGGTGGGTGTTTGTATGTTTGGGGTTGGAGTAAAACCTTGGCTTTGCAATTCTTATATCTCTACTCTTTCCACTTCTCATGTTGTTTTCCTGTTACAATTTTAGTGTTGGAGGGATTTTAAAAACCTGGGATATAGTAGGCATTCAATAAAAGTCTATTAAATAGAAAAAATAGTATAACCAGTTTCCCCCCTCCTTTTCCTTGCATGTTTCCGTGTGTCAGGTGTTTTCCATACGTTATCTCATCTAATTTTCTTTTAACTCTTCATCTTTGTTGTGAAATATTTTATACATAGATAGGTATGAATATAAAAGGCCAATTCCATTTTCAGACATCTAATCAATATACAATTTTCTAACATTAAACCAATAATTGACTTACTAGTACTTATCCATTTTAATTACGTACCTCTCCAAAGACAAAACAAATATTTCTTCCTAGAAGTATATACTTGAGGTTCAGTATCATATTAATGCTACTTTTTTCTTCTCCAAGTGTAAGGATCCCCAGTTTCTTTGGTCATTTCTTAGATGACAAGCTCTCTCTTTTGTTAACCAATTTCCTCCTAAAGCATCTACAACTATCGTGTCCTAATTGTGATTCCATATTAGAGAAAGATGATTATCTTCCTTATTCTGGAATGTTCATTTCTAATAACACATATACGCCTGAACACTTTGGCACTTGCATCACATTCTTCCCTTCTGTTGAGCTTACAGTCATAAACAATGATTACAACTAAAACAGTGTCTTTCTCACTTGGGGCTTTTAAATCATATTTCTCCTATCTTATAGTTTGTTATTATCACCCTGTGTTCAGCAAAAATACTGCTCAAAATTGAAGGCCAACTATAGACTTTTTCAGAAAGCTGAAAGAATTCATTACCTGTAGACTTGCAATACAAGAAATGCTAAATGAAATGGGGTAGGTGGAATGAAATGGTACTAAAAAGGAATAGGAATCTACACAAAGGAATGAAGAGCACTGAAAATGGTAACTACACAGGTAGATATGATATTTTTCTTATATCATCTCTATATCTCTATATCTATATAAAAGATAATTGTTTGAGCAAAAATGACAATGACGAACTTTAGGAATTCTAACATATGTCAAAGTAAAACATACAACAGCAATAGCATGAAGGTCAAGAAGGGAGAAATAGAAGTAGAATATTGTAGGTTTCTTATATATGAAATGGTATATCTCCTGAAGGTAGATTGTGATAAACATGTATATACTATAAACTCTAAAGCAGACACTAAATTAACAACAACAACAAGAGTTATAGCAAAGAAGCCAATGAAGGATATCAAATAGAATAATAAAAATATACTCAATCCCCCCAAAAAAAGGCAGAAAATGGGGAGGGGGAAAAAAGAAAATATGAGACAAATAGTATAGCAAGATCAGAGGTTTAAATGTAACCATATCAATAATCACATTAAATATAAATATTCTAAATACCTCCATTAGAAGTCTTATATTTCAGATTGTATAAAAAAACACACCTCACCTGTAAGCTGCTTGCAACAAACATACTTTATTTTTTTTTCTTTTATTAATAGAATTTATTTTTTTATATCTTTATTGGAGTATAATTGCTTTACAGTGGTGTGTTAGCTTCTGCTGTATAACACAGTGAATCAGCTATACATATACATATATCCCCATATCTCTTCCCTCTTGCATCTGCCTCCCTCCCACCCTCCCTATCCCACCCCTCTAGGTGGTCACAAAGCACCGAGCTGATCTCCCTGTGCTATGCAGCAATGAAGTGAGAGAGTAGCATTAACATATATGCACTACCAAATGTAAAATGGATGGCTAGTGGGAAGCTGCTACATAGGACAAATGTACTTTAAATATGAGGGCACCAACTGGTTAAAAGTAATGGCAGACTTTCAGTTTCTTAGTCTACGTGTTAGGAGCTTAGAAGTCACCACTGCATCCTAACAAGTAAAAAGCTGAAAGAAAACTGAAAAATCAACAACTCTTATAGGATCCATAAGAGAGGTGAGCATACAGGGCACACTGCTACCCCCCAAACTGGAGAGACAGACAGGCAAACACAGTGAGTCACAGCTTACTAGAGCAGAGACAACAGAAACCACCTCCAGAAACGGTGCCCGGGTAGGAAACTCTGTACCATAATTGACAAATTCCTGGAGGCTCAGTGTGGACAACTCTGAGAATTAAAACTCTAGAGGATCCAGTCATAGAGGGTGACCCACAGTTTTGTGAGATTTACCTCCACGTGCTCGACTAGGTTCTCACTGTGAAGATGGGAAAAAACTTCCCTAGTGTGTCTGGCAGAGGGAGGGGAAAAGGAACCATTTTGAAATATGCCAGAGTACTCTGTTCTTCTTAAGAAAGTCTGTCCTCAGGAGAAACTAGTTAAGCAGACCCTAACCTGCTGGTATATTATCAGAGCCTAACTAACCAGAGGGAAGGGAAATACCGAAATCCAATCCACTCTAGCCATCTTCTACCTAAAGAGGAGGAGAAAACAACAACAACAACAACAACTCAGAAATACTTGTGAAGTTCAGTCTGGAGGCACTGGCTCACTAAAAAACTGAGAATCATAAAACAGTAGAACATTTTCCCTCTCCCTATATCTTACCACCACATTACTAAAGACTTATTTACAGCAGTCCTTTTTACTCAATATATCATGTCCAGTTATCAAGGAAAAAATTACAAGGCACACCAAAAGGCAAAAAATGCAGTTTGATGAGACAGTGCAAGCATCAGAACTAGAGATGGTAGGGATGTTGGAACTATCAGACTGAGAATTTAAAACAAATATGATTAATGTGCTAAGAGCTCTAATGGATAAGTAGACACCATGCAAGAACAGATGGGCAACATAAGCAGAGAGATTGAAATCCTAAGACCCAAAAAGTAATAGTAGAGATCAAAAACACTGTTAACAGAAACAAAGAATGCTTCTGATGGGCTTTTTAGTGGACTGGATGCAGTAGAGGAAAGAATCTCTAGGCTTGAGGGTATCTCAATAGAAACCTCAAAAACTGAAAAGCAAAGAGAACAAAGACTGGGGGAAAAATAACCCCCAGAATATCCAAGGACTATGGGACAACTACAGAAGGTATAACATACACA